TTTATACATAGAAAAGGACTGCAGCTTCCCCCGCCAGACCGGGGGGTCTTGGAGGACCACTACCTGGGGAGGAGACGACAGCGCAGCAAGGCTGTTAAACAAGGAAAGAAAAACATTCCAGCTCCCTAAGCAGTTATGTTGAACAACGGAAAGAAAAGGCAGGAAAGAAGGAGTTGGCGGCAATCGGTCCACCAGGCTTGGATCCATGGGCTGTACTATCACTTATGGAAGGAAGTGGGAGGGAACGGAGACGGGCTGCTGGATTCCCCTAGGGAGGGGAAGAAGGCAGCTGCCTGAGAGGAGGGCGTGGGAGCACGAGGTACTGGGGCGGCGACAGGCCGAGGGGTGGCCAAAGGGTCGGCCAAGGGAAGGGGAGGGGTAGGTGTGTGGGCAGTGCCAGGCGGGGCCTCGTCCTGGTCCATCGAGTCTGCGTCATTCCCCCACTCGTCCCCCGCCTCTGACCCTGAGGCCGGCTGGGGGGACTGAGAGGGACGAGACGGGCAGGACCTGTCAGTGGCGGGGTGACCAGCGGAGGAGTTAGAGCACTGTGGGGGAGATGCCGGGCAGCAGGCCATGACGGATTTGAGGAAGCCCAGCTTGGGGCATGTTGGGTTGGGGCAACGATAGTTAGCCCTTGTGTGATTTGAGGCACAGATAGGGCAGACAGGAATGGTGGCAGCACATGCTGGAGCCAGGTGCCCAAACTTCCAGCAGTGCCTGCATTGCCTGAATTTGTTCTTGGAGACCGCATTTTGAACATTGCAGAGCTTGGAGTAGAGGAGGATCTTGGACCCGATGAGGCCCACATCAGAGGGAGCGACGATAATGACCACTGAGGTGTTGGCCTTGCGGAGGAGGGGGTCAGGTTAGAGGGAGCGAGCACCAAAGATATTGACATTCTTGGCGTTTTGGACGGATTCGGCAAGAGCGGGGAAGAGGTCGGATTGGTCCGGAGGGAGGAAGGCGACTGGGAGTCCGTGAATGACCAACCGCACCTCGTTGCGTGCGGGACGGAAGGGATGGTAGGGATTATTCCCTACTGCAAAGGACTGATTGATCTTATTGGCAAGGGCCTCATAGTATGGGGAGTAGCTGGTGGCCGGCGTAAGGGGGTCAGTGGCAAGGAGGGTAATCACACCACGTGCGTTGACGGTTGCCGAGAAGGAGACGGGGAAAGGACAGTTTGCCTCTGAAGGACAGAGGCTACAAGGTCGGGAGCGGTGGCTGCCAGGCGCGTTGCATCAGGGTGGGGGGCGGGGGTGGTACGGGGGGCGAAGAAGTGTCTCTCGTGAGCAGGAAGGGGGGCCGCCTCCCGAACCCCGGGGGCAGGACCACCCGACGCCGCGACTTGGGCTGCGGTGGTCGCCTTCTTCTTGCCCTTGTCACCCCGTTGCTGAGCGGGGCCCCGGAGGGGCCTGCAGCACTGGCGTAAGAGGAGGAGAGAGAAATTAGGGTGAGGAAGGAGGGGGCGGGACCTGGGCGGAAGGTGGACTCTTCCGGGAACTCGCCTTGAGCAAACAGGAACGCAGCAAAGGAGCGGGGATATCTTGCAGCGAAAGTGCGCGGATTACCATACCACACACCATCTACCTGCATTGGGGAGTCGATGTCCGCGACAGGAATGTCCAGGACATATCCAGGAGGAGGGCGGTACTTTGCCCCAGGTGGAGCTGATAGAGGGGGAGGTGGTGGCGGGCGCCTGGCCTGCTTTGGAGGCGGAGGGGGAGGGCCCTGAGGGGCAACTGACGGGTGGGCGGCCGACGCCGTGACCCTCAGGGAGAGGTCACAGACTGAGGCTTCAAGTGCCGGGAGAGAGGGAGGATCCTTCGGGTCAGAAGTAGAGGACCTCTCAAGGACCTCTACTCTTTGGATTATGTTGCCAATCCCATCAAGGGCAGTGCAGAGCAGTGGGAGGAGGGTGGCTTCTCCTGCTGAGAGGTCTTGAAGCTTAGAATCGGATGGGGGGGGAATCGGGGGGGCCGCCCGTCCTATGTGATGGAGAGTGCGGGCAAGCTCTTCTCTAACAAGTGTGAGGTGAGCGGGGAGAGAGTGGGTGGGTGCCCTTGACTCGTAGGGCGAGGCACGGCTGGAGGCTCGGGAGCCAGACCTTGAAGGTCCCAGACCAGACCCCTCCATAGTCAAGGGGGCTGTGCGGGGTAGGGAGGGGGCTGTGCACTTAGAGACTGAAGCCTAAGTGAGGGAGGAAATAGGTGTGTGGAGATGGTTGCCACGCAAAACCCTGGAGTTTTGCCTGGCCGAATGCGGTAATGTTTTTAAGCAAGATGAAAGTAGAGGGCGCAGAGCATGTTCTGAAAGCTAAGGAGGCACCTCAATATTTATATTCTGCGTCTGGGTGGTCGCGGGCTACATCTATCTTATACCAAACAATGTACCTTCCTCATTTCCTACCCCTTACTATCGTAACGGGCATTCATTTGACCCTGATAAAGTTTGCGTCTTGGTCAGACTATGGTCTCCATGCGTTGTTGTGTTTCCATGAGGGTGTTTGAAACCTCTCTGGCAACAGTGTACGATTCCTTCATCTCGGAGGTTTTAAGTACGAGTGAGTGGTCTCGCTTCAAGTCAACTAACTATCCTCCTAACTCTGACTGGAGTGATCAGCTCCGTCGAGAGACTTATCAATGCATCGTTGACTTCGCAACTTGATTGCATTAACATTGAGGACTTTTCGTCATGATCGGACTAGTTAACGTCATGGAAAAGTCCCTCAATCATAGATAGGCCTCCGGTTGGCTCTATACTATGCGAGCACTAGACTCGGCCCCGTGCCTCATCCATCTGGGCACGTCACGATAACTCATCGGACTGTTGGTGATTTGGTCGCAACATTTTCTGTCCATGTTCGCAATGGTCAATCTCGCTTAGTTCGTAGCTCCATGGTTACCCGTCCGATTGACTTCATTCCACATTTCAGATACGGCCTGAGGGCCCTTCTCATATATCCTGCTCACGGCCTTCGGTCGGATAGACGGCGACGACGTATACGGTGTTATGAAGCATGCTTCCTTCCAACCGGTTTATACTGTCAGAACACCAAATTCCGGTGATACTATTACTGCATGCAGGCCCAACGGCGGGGCCGGAAGAGGGTGTTGGCCATGAAATCTTGGCGGTTTTCAGGAGGTCTGTGCACGGGGGAGGTCTGTGCGTCCATATGTGTAACACCAGCTCCCTCCTCATGGAGCTCGTCTCGAGTCTTTGCTTCTATCCTCTAATATGGTACATCATTAAATTCCTGTAAGATCTCGGTGTGAGTAGCGTAAAAAACCTCCACCCATTTACTTGGCCACACGAAGGAAAACCTTTTCTCCACCATTCTACCTCAGCCCTGGCATTTCCAGGTTATCTCTATGAAACTCCTCTACCAACTCTTGAGCATGTTCCCTATGCTCCGGGGGTTGCCCTGTGTTCTCATCTTCACAACATCCCTTCCATTTCACAAAGCATTTGAGTTCGTGCATTCTCTGGTTGCGACCGCGAACTCTCCTGGTGTAGGAGAGAACCTCGCTCTGCACGATTTTCTCCATTTCTCACACGAGATCGCCTTCGATCTCTTGCGGTCCCCTTGGCGCCTGTTCCCATTCTGGTCGTGGTGACAATCGGTAGTGCTCGAGTAGCGATATGTGGAATATGGGGTGGATGTTCCCTCGTTCCGAGATCTCCAACTTAAAGGCGCGGTCGCCTCGTTTTTCGCGAACTTTGAATGGTCCGTAAAGCTTTGGCCTTAGTTTTTTGGAGGGTCATTTCCTACAGATATTTTTTGCCTTAAGCATGACACGGTCACCAACTTGGATGTTTGGTTACTGTCATGCTTTTTTATCGTAGTACTTGGACATCAATTTCCTCGTTTCTTGTAACATTTCCCATGCTTGTTGATGTATCGTCTTCATCCAGTGGGCGTAAGTGGTTGCTCCGGGGTTGCGTGCTTCACGCTCGGTTATCCATTCAGTCTGCGGATAGAATCCATAGTTCGCGTAGAACGGTGTTAATCCATGCGCTGCGGTGACTGAATTTTTGTATGCATGTTCGGCTAGGGGCAACAGAGAATACCAATTGTCTTGATCGTAGTTGACAAAAGTTCTAAAATAACCTTCCAGCACTTGGGCGGTCCTTTCGGTTTGTCCCTCAGTTTGAGGGTGGTAGGCTATTCACATCTTTCGCTTAATGCCTAGTAGATTGCCGAGGGATTCCCACAATTCTCCTGTGAATTTGGCATCCATGTCCGAGATGATCTCGGTTGGGAGTCCATGCAATTTCCAAACTTCCTTTAAGAAGGCCGTGGCCATGTCTTTAGCAGTCGCAGTAGTAGGTAGGGGGACGAAGTGAGCCATTTTGGTGAACCTGTCGACTACTACCATGATTTGGGTAGTTCCGCTGGATGCAGGGAGTTGGGTGATAAAGTCAGCTGAGATTGAGGTCCACGCAGCATAGGGAATTACTGAGGGTTGGAGCAATCCGTAACGTGGGTGTCGTGGTGACGTGCTGTGCTGACAGTCGTCACATGAGCGAACGTAGTCATTTACCCAATTGGTGATCCCTTTCCAGTGAAAATCTCTGGTGATGATCTCCAGAGTTTTCTCTTATCCGAAGTGTCCAGCTGCCTTAGAGTCGTGGCAGCTTTTCGCGATCATGGTTTGTAGAGGTTCCGAGGCGGGAATGAATAGTCGGTTCTTAAAATACATAAGATCCTTATCCAGTTTCCAATGCTTTGGTCCTTCCTTATCCTGTATTTTCGGGCCTGCTAGTTCTGTTTTTCAAGATGTCCAATCTTGGTCATCGATGCCAGCATCTCGAACTTCTTGGAGGAATTCTTCGTTGAACTCCTTTGGTATTGCGTTGATGACTACTCGGGTAGCCATCAGAGTTGACATCTCGTGGAGTAGCCAATGTCGGTCAAGGTCTAGTTGATCGAAGTACTTGTTTTCATCAGTGTTGTCGTAAAGGAAACTGGTGTCCCTGGGTCCCTCCTCTAGGCCCGTTCCAGTACTCCCGAACCCTTGATTGCCGCGCTCAGTGTTATCTAGTTCCATGCATTCCGATAGGTCACCCATATGGATCTGTTCTAGAATCAGTTGTCCGATTTTACTTCCAGCTTGCACTTTGTAATCGTCTTGTCCCAAGTTGTACAACAAGGCTTTTACTTCCCCACGGTAGTCTGCATCTAGGTAACGGGGGCTCCCTGAGGTAGATGGTTTCTAAGGATGCGACCGCACCAAACTTCGAATCTTTCGATCACAACTGTTATAACGTGTAAAGAATAAAAGTAAAACCGTAAAACTTAATATCGTTAAGCTCAGGCTTATCTCAATTACAGTCTCTCGAGAGGATGTTGATTCTGTCGGGGCAGGAGAGTTCTTGTATAAGCTTCAGGTAGTCAGACTTATGCCAGAAACTCCCCCATCAGGTCGCCCCGACCAACATGAGCATGCCCTCCTCCATGAGGGTTGCCGGCACCATTACCGTATCCCCGAAGAGCTTTAGGTGTCAGCGCACTCTAGCAGAAATCTCCCATATGCACATCATTTCCGGCGAGGTGTTTACCAATACACCTGCCTGAGCGAAAACCTCTGCGCATCGGTGTCTCGTCCATGGTTAACTGTTGAGACTCCTAGGAAAGCTAACCAAATGACTCTCTTCCCATGTGCTATGATCCATGCAAGCACCCCTAGACATCAGGTGTCCTCCGGTTAAGTTCTATCTTGCTTGATTGGGAACTTACGGGGTCTACAACGCTCCCACGAAGAGCTGTGTCGGCAGCGGGACGCGTCGGCGCTACCCATGGTCCCTTACCCCCGGCACACCACTCAGCGTGATAGGTATCATGCTATTAGAGTCTTCCAACAACCCACAAAGAGTCTACGGCAAAGGGGTACGTGTAGGCATGATTGGCGTAAACCTTCCCAGATGTCTCCGGCACTACCCAGGACTACTCTGGGGACCCTTCCAGATAGCTCATGCTAACTCCGTCAGTTGTGGTCCGTTTTACTCTGTTCCTTTTGAAGAAGGTACCTGACCTTCTCACCTTAGCCCCCTTATATATCCTGCGAACAGCTTCTGGTCGGACGGACGGCAGCGACGTATACAGTGTTATAGATATTTCTTCAATGATTCCATTTAACTAGTAAGACGGCAACTTCACCCATTTTGGCCCATGACGCCCGGGGCGAACCCTGGGGCCGCAGGTACTTGTTAGAAATAATCCTGCCAAGCTACCACATGTTCAGAGCACTCTAGCTCCTCCGGTAGCGTTCCGATCAATGTGCAAGCAACTGCCTATCGATCGTAATTGTGTAACAAATAATCCTAACATTTCACGGAATCTTTCCGAGAACGTTTCCAACAGAAGGTAGGGTAATAGTATCCCAAAGGTAGGGTAAGTATGTCCAGGGTGACACGAAACTGGTCTCCATGGCAGGGTAATGTGACTTACCTAGACAGGGCAAAGTTATCCAGCCTTCCGACCTATCCTTAGGCCGAAACCGATAAAGTCACATTACTTCCGCTACTTAGGTACACCTATATCTCAAGTACCTTCCGTTCCCCGGGATACCCGGACCATCGAGTATCTCCTGGACATGCTCAGGCATGCCCGCCTAGTCTACCATATAACCTCTTGGCCTTTTGCATGGGGGTAGACATAGGTTGCCATAGCTCTATACTAGTAACGTAGGGTCGTTACAATCTATGACTCCCGCTTTGATGGCAATCATGTGTTTGGTCGCTAGTTCACCTTCTGGAGCTATCCGCCCGTAAGTTCTTTCAGGAACTGCGATTGCGACTCTGGTATCGACAAGGGCTTGGCCCTTACTTGGGATTACTGAATCTCATAGTGTGTACAGGTAATAACCTGCTGCGTGGACGGTACCTCGTGTAGGCAGGAGGGCCTTTGGGTCTAGGCGCATTGCTCGAAATTGGGGTTGGTTGTTTGGTATAGCTGGTGCTAGAACCATAATGTCGTCCCCTCCTAGGACTACTAAAATTTGAATCATGTTGCAGAAGGGTTCAGGTTTGAGAATAGACTGTTCACTTTGCACAGCTCCCCCTTCAGGATGGTACTCCGGACATCTGCTTAAAGCGTCCGGCTTACCACTCCTTGATCTGGGTCTGTACACAATCTTAAAATTGAAGTCAGCCAATTTTTGAGCCCACCTAATTTGTCTGCCACTCCATGCTGTAGTTGTTAGGAAATACTGGAGGTTTTGGTGATCGGTGTAAACAGTAATTGGCCTATCAGGTCCCATGAGGTAATGTCACCATTCTTGGAATGCTTCCACGATCCCTAATAATTTCTTGTCATGGATGTCATAATTGCGTTCTGCTGGATTTAATTTTCGTGAGTAAAAAGCGACCGGGTGTAACCACCTTTCGATGAATTGTAAAAGTACACATCCAAGTGCGGAGTGGCTAGCATCTGTTTCCACTACCCTCTCGCGGTAAGAGTCCAAGTGGCACAAGATCGGTGCTGTAGCAAACCTTTCTTTTAGTAATTCAAAAGAGGCAACAGCCTCGCTATTGCATTTGAAATCCCTTGGATTTCCTTTTAGTAATTCCGTTATCGGTTTGCATATTGCGGAGAAGTTTTTGATAAATCTCCAATAAAAGTTTGCAAATACACTGAATATCTGAATTCCCTGGACTGGCTCTGGGTGTTTCCCCTGCCTGATGGCATCGACCTTTCTTTCGCTTATTTCGACTCCAGTGCCACTGACGATATATCCTAAGAATTCGACGCTTTTCACATGGAAAACTGATTTCTTAATGGATATCGCTAATTTGTTTTCCCGCAACTTTTGCATGACTTTTTAAACCAACGTGATATGTTCTGCTTCGTTCTTGGAGTAAATCAAGATGTCGTCCATGTACACAAGTACTCCATTGTCAAGGAACTTGCGTAGTATAGTCTGCATCATGCTTTGGAAAGTCGCGGAAGCATTAATCATATCAGCGGGCATTACCCGGTATTGAAAATGTCCTCTGTGACAACCGAAAGCTGATTTCCACTCGTCTTTCTGTGGTAATGGTACACGGTAGAAGGCCACTTCTAGGTCAATTTTGGAAAGTATTTCTGATCCAACGATCATGTCCTTGAGTGTAGTCAGTAATGGTAGGAGGGATTTGTTAGCGATGGTTACCTCATTTAATCCTTGGTAATCCACACATAGTCTAAGTCCTCCTCCAGGTTTTGGGGCAAACAAAACCGGTGCTCTTGCTGGTGACTAACTGGGAACAATTTTTCCTTCCTTAAGCATTTTATCCAAATACTCGCTTAAGGTTTTTCTTTCCTTCTCAGTTAACGAGTAAATTGGTCCCCCAGGTGGTTGTATCCCAGGTAACAGTACGATGTTATGGTCGAATGAGCGGTGTGGTAGTAGTTCTGCTGCCATCGGACCTTCGAATAGGCCTTTAAATTGGTGATAAGGCTTTGGGGCAATTTCCCATGCGATATCCCAATCCACTTCCGGATAGGTAAAGGGAGCGATGATCTCTTTGCTCTTGTGTACATGTCCAACATATATCACATTTTCCTCCCATACCAAATTGTCATCCCATTTGACATCTATTCCTTCATCGCTTGTTCCGACATTCTCGGAACATTTTTCGGTATTGAATTCCTACTTTATTGGGTCCTCGATGCCGCTTATCGGGTGTTGGTCATGCCACCAACCGAAAGGTATAATCATGTCGAAGTTTCCTGTATCGGTAACTTCGCAAGAGACTTTGGACATATGTTGATTTTGTCCGATCTCTAGTTGTATTGGATGAGTGCATAACCATCCACTCTGCGTAGAGGTAGTTCCGTCAAATCCCGTAATACCTAAGGGTTTAATACTAGTTTTGGTAGGTAGTGCTAATTCGTGCACTAATTTGCTTCTCAGCAGGAAGATGTTGGAGCCCGAGTCTAGTAACACTGGAATCGGAACTCGTTTTCCTTCGTGGTGGATGAAGGCTTTGTCTTCAGGACATTGATAATGCACTGGTGTGGGAACCTTGGTTTTTGCTCACTTAGGGGCCCCAGAGGGGTTACCCTGTTTTCGTTTTGTGGAACTCCTTTTCATGGTTGGGTGTTGGTGCGGGGGATTGTTACCGCGCCAGCGTGGTTTCAGCTCCTAAAGCCTCCTCAGACAATCTTTGGCTTTGTTATTATTACCCTCATTAACGACATTTAATCATACCGAACTCCAAAGATCCTATGGAGTCGAGGATCAACCTTTTAACCCGTCCTTAGGTATATTTTGATTCCGGTCAGTTGCGCTGTGACAGCTAAGCACGCTGCGCTGCTACTCGCTTACTGACTGACTACCCTATCGCTATAGCTGTGGGTCCCTCCAAAGCTCTTCCCGCCACAACTAGACCATTTCCTCGGTTCGGTATCAGTGACTCAACTCTGCTTTCTGTGTACTTGTTGAAAGCCAGCAGTCACCTGCGAGGTGACGAAGTTTGCATCTAATACGGGGTCGCAATCTTGCCTGTTGCTAATCTGGCCTTTCGTGCTTCTGCCTGTGGGAGGGTACAGCTTGGTAAAGGTCTTGTGCTTCCCTTAGGTACCATTCGCCATCATTCTTGGCTAAGTGCCCTTGCCACCCATCCCAAAGGTTCGTAAGGGCTCCCCGCATAATTCCTGGCAGCGGGCCAGGTATTACGGATTTCTTCCTCTCGGGGGCATACTTCAGAAGACCGATGAGTGACTATTCCTTAGTCTTCATCGCTCATCTCCCGAATCTGAGAGACGGGATCTTGTCGAGCATGGTGGGTCGTTGGCTTATTCGCCTTCTCTCGTACCTCTAATCTCTTGGACCTCAGGACTGCATTTTTATGCTGGGTGAGGTGATTCATGGCAGCATCTTTCTGACAATCGGCCCACTTGTGGTTTTTGAGCCCGCAACAAGTTCAGCCTTAGTTTTCACGTCGTGTCTTGACTAGCGATTCCGGAATCCCTTCGTGTGCCCTTTTCCAATCTGTATGCACACGTTTTCCATCACCAAATGTTTGCGGTTTGGAGGACTCATTCTTCATTGTCCACTTCTTTTTTCCGCCGAACTTTGAATTTGGTCTGGATGACCAGTCTCGTTTCTTTTTGAAAGCAGTACCTGGTCGTGAAGGTTCCTCATTCCTTCGCTTTCGCAGATTTGACGCACTGGGTTTCCCATGGTCATTTCCCGCTAAC